TTCTAAAACCATGTCCCTAAAACAGTTAATCTGGGAATATCATAGGTATTTATCATCTGACAAGAAATAACAGCTCTTCAATTCCCAGATGCTGTACAATCACCCCATCAATTTAATAACAGCTTTTCAGGGTATAAACACTATCACATTAAATATATGAATCAGTCTCACATCCCAATTTCAGAAATTTTGAAATGTTCAGAGAAAAGTACATGTTAGAAATGAGGAAATAGGGAGTTGCTTGTGATCTAATTTTCTTGAAGTAAACTTTTCCCCTGTAGTCAGCTATATCCAGTTGGTTTTCTGAAAATAAAAAGAAAGTGCCTCTGAATTTTAACTTGTGCTACACTTGGTGACCTGCTTAGCTAGAGATTCAGGTAAATGGCCGAGACTGGGGTGGTGAGTCTCCCTGGGGCGGGTCCTGAGTTAGGTAGACCTGGATTAATAATACAATTCTGCAAACTTCTCCAGACCTCATTCATGCAGTGAGTAGACAGAGGTCTGTCCTGGGAGGCTTGGAAAATTCAGGACTAATGTGTGGAGCACCTAGCACATGTCAGGACTTTCGATTCATAATTTCTGTAAGGGTGGTTTGATGGTATGACCTACTGGTTGCAGCCATCTGGGAGGCCTAGGAGTTAAAGACAGTACCCTAAATATAGCAAGAAAATATTATTCCCCACCTCATCCCTCTCTCTGCCTGAATGTCAGGAATTCCAGAAATGTTTTCAGGTTCTTCTTTATTACCAGTTTTGTTCATTGGTGTATACAGCAGGTGTCACTACATGGTGTTTTAGTGCCCTGTGGAATCTGCTGCCTCCCTGTCTGCTGATCTGGCTCCTTGCAGGGATGTCAGCAGTGGCTCCTTGGGGAACCCTTCACCTGCCCAGCTCAAACTGCAGTGTCTGAGCTGCCCAGTCTCCTGTCTCTCAGGGATCCCAGGAAGTGCTCTTGGCTTGTAATTCCACTTCCACAATGGCTCCTGTACTTCCAAGAGACATTTAAGTTTTTATGACTTTAAAATATTTAAAGTGGGCCCTCCCTGGTGGCGCAAGAGGTTGGTCTCAGCACTGTGAAGCTATTGGCAGCCACTGCAGCATGAGTTTGATACCAAGCCAGGGAGCTGACCCACATGGCACAGCAGACCTCTCCTGTCTCACCCTCTGCTCCCCTCAGCAGTGGATTTCAGTCAGTCTGCCTGTTCTGTTCCCCACTCTGTCTCTGGGGAATACTCTCACCACCTGTCCCCAGCCCCCACACCTCTGGCCTACACTCCAGCTCTTGTATGTATGCACAAATAAATCTTTAAAAATACATATATTTAAAGTGAAAATTACCACTTAGGTGCTACTTCCAGCTCAGCCACGAACTGTAGAATAAGTAAGCCACTTATCTAAGACTCAGGTTCCTCCTTTCTAAAATAAGAGCTAGAAGAACTCCTTCCTTTGATCCTTTCCTACACTGATATTCTCTGTGTTGAAACCATTTTGGCAGTTGTAAAAAATACCAAGTTGCATTTGTTGTATTTAGAAAACATTAGTTTTAGACTATACTTAAACATATACTGTTTAGCATTTTAAAAGTAAGCATCTGTTTACTGTTGGGAGAAATTAAATTGTAGGCTCCAGATGTGATTCCATTCTCTGTGGAAATATATATTTAAATCACAGATCTCTAACCAGCCTTGAGGCAGCTGCCAAGATTTCTCTCCAACCCCCCCCCCACCTCATTTTCCTTTACCTGATTTCTACTCTGTGGGATGAAGATTTTTGAAGTTGCAGCAGCTCTGCTGGTTTGCCTCCTCTTCTATGTTTAGCATTCTTTCTAGCACACTTTCATATCTCAGCCTCTCTCTGCATTTCCTCCCTGGGGTAATTCCAAAATCTTGTGACTGTGGAGCGCCCTTGTCTTGGGACTCATTTGAGAACTAACCCTGATGCCTTTGAATCTGGAAACACTAAGGGACTTCAAGCAAATTCTCTAGCTTGATATAAAACTCAACATTCCAAATTTTTATTTTCTTTTTTTTTTCCTTTTTCTGCCTCCTCTATGAAATGTATAGGTGAAGAGACATCTTGGTCTTAAAAAGAAAGGCTGATGTTCTTAAGACCTGAGTGACATCTGGTGCAAGGTTGCAGAACTCACATGGTGTGTGTGAGTGGGGTAAGGGTGTCGCCCTCACTTTATCCCTAGTGGTCAATTTATCTGGTTCTCGCTTATTTTAGAGATTCAGGATTTGAAGGTTTTTTTGTATTTTTATTTTTGTTTTGCATGCATATCTATTCCCCCTTCCCATTCTTATACCCATCCCATTTATTTTCATCAGCAGAAACAACTGAAAATTATATAAACTATTTATTCTTTCATTATTACCTAGAGTCTCTAACCTCTTTAAATCCATGCGCCATGTGCCGAGGGAGAAGGAGCAGTAAAATTTTATTTTATTTTTTTCCTGATATATGAAGAAAAACATTTTTTACATCATTGTTCATTTTTAAACAATATTTGCTTCCCCCCATCCCCTCAGGTGTAGTCCCCATAGAGTTTCCTTCACCAATGCACCTGTGCACCATCACCTCAGCCCCCTGTGCTCCTCCCTCCCTCCCTCTGATCCCTCTCCCTCCTCCTCCCCTGCAGGATGTCTCTGGTTTATAATTTTCCGTTTTTGCTTTGTTGTGTTTTGTACTGTTATTTTTTTCACACTGATGCCTTATTTGGTTCCCCTATATTCCTGCTATAAATGAAACCATCCGATGTTTTTCTTTTTCCTTCTGGCTTATTTCACTGAGCATAATTCCTTCTAGTTCCATCCACGTTGCTGCAAATGGCATGAGTTCATCTTTTTTGCTTGCTGAATTATACTCCATTGTGTATATATGCCACATCTTCTTGATCCAGTCATCTATTTTTGGGCATTTGGGGTTGTTTCCACGTTTTACCTATTTTAAATAGTGCTGCAATAAACATAGAGGTACAGGTGCTCTTTTGAATCAATGTTTCTGTGTCCCTTGGGTAGATCCCTAGTAGTGGATTGCAGGGTCATATGGTAGCTCCATTTTTAGTAGACTGAGGAACCTGCAGACAGCTTTCCATAGTGGCTGGACCAGTTTGCACTCCCACGAGCAATGCAGGAGAGTTCCCTTTTCACCACCTCCTTGCCAACATTTGTTGTTGTTGTTGTTGTTTTTTGATATGTGCCATTCTTAGGAACAATAAGATTTTAATAATAGTTAATGAATTGCTAGAATTTCTTGTATGTGTATGTGTGTCTCTTGGTTTGTGTGTGACTCTTAGTATATGTGCATAATGTGTTCTATACACATGTGAGTTTATATATGTACACATATATGTCTATACATGTGTACTTGGTGGGCATCTAAATATACATGAGCATGAGTGTGTGTCTATACATGTGAGGCCGTGAGTCTGCATCTATATGGCCTATGTCTTGATATGTATATATGATGTGTGTTTATACAATGCAGGTAGGTATGCATGTCTGAATGTTGTATACAGATTGTGTGACTGTATGTCTATACTTGTGTGTTATGGCATTAAGAAAATGTATCTATACATGTGCATCTATACTTTTATGTGCATGTGTACACGTATGTTTCTATACAAATAAGTATATGCCTGTGCATTTGTATCTATTAACGCATAAGTACCTATACATATGTGTACATGTGCATGTTTATTTAGCTATTAAGAGATTGGCCAAGAGAGCAGGAGAGACCTGGATTCAAGCCTCTTCTATCATAACTGTATGACCTTGGAAAATTTTCTTTTAATCACTTCATCTTTTAATTGGAATTGATAGTAGTAATTCATGCCTTTTAGGTTATAATGAGGTGAAAAATGCAAGTAATACCTTGGCTTATAAGCAACAAAAAGCATTTGTTATGGTCATCACCTTTATCATTATTTCCAATCCTTACATTCTGAGGAAACTGAGGCAGAAAGGGTGAGATATTCTTCTCCAGTGACACAGCAGCATGTGGTGGGTCCCTCTGTCTATTGCCCAGAAATGTTAAACTGGTATTATTTTTCCTGCTTTTCTATACTATCTGAAAAAAAAATGTTGATCATTCCTGGTTATGACCTGGAGAGAAGGTCACTCCATCATTTGATGTGTGGAAGACACTTGTGCTGCTTTTGTTCCTCTAATATGTGAGAGCAGAGTGGCTCTGCCCTGAGACAGGACAGGCTGGAGTCTGGAACACCTGGAGTTGAGCCTTTAATTCATCACCATGTGAACTGGGCCAATTTGTCATTTTTGTCTTCTTTGGGTGTTTTTAGGACCTCAGATGTACAAAAGAGGAGTACAAATAAACTTTGGTTAATGATACACTGAAAGTATTGCCTCTTTATTTCTTTTACTATTAGACATTTTAAATAGTGCAATGAATACCTGAGACCACCTATCCTAAACAAACTCTTGGATTTTGATAGTCACCTTCATCTAAGCATTTGGTTGCTCCCTCATTTCTTCCCATCTCTACTTAGTTGACCTCATCCATGTTTGTTATGTTACTTTCCTTCATATGCAATCTCTTTGCATTCCTAGTATTCTGAAAAAGAAACCTTTAATTGAAATTGTTTTCAACTTTCTAAAAAAGACAATGCGTCTATAAACCTTTGGAACTAACTTTCCATTAAGAAGACTCATATACATTGTGATGTGCTATGCTATATTGATTTTGTCCTATTGTCTAATATTCTGATATATAAAACATACTATAATTTAGAAACCCTCTTATTAATGGGCATTTTGGGTACTTTTAGAATTTTGTTGTTGTGGAGAGAGCATCATTTATCTTAAATCTTCATGCACATGTGCATTAATTCTTCTTGTGTAGGGCTAGGATTGCTGGCACACAGAATATATGGACATTAAACTTTGGAAGATAGTACTAATTGCTTTCCAAAATTGGTTACCCCAATTTTCACTCATTGTAATAGGAATCCATATTGCATCAACACTTGGAATCGTTCTATTTTTAACGTTTACTAACTGAATGAGCAAAAAAAAAGGTCTTCTCGTTGGGTTTTTGATTTACCTTTCCCTGACCAATAATGACACTGAATATCACTCCTCATGCTTATGGACATTATGTGTTTGTTCTGCCAGGAAATGTCTCTTCACATCTGATCTCTTTCTCTTGGGTTGTTTGTGACTTTCTTACTGGTTTGTAGATATCCAAAAAATTACTTGACTTGATCATTCTGAGATTCTTTTAGCACCTGTAAAAATGGGGGTCATAATACAGTGTTCATAGGGTTGATCTTAGGATTAAATTACTGTATATATACATTGGCATATAACATATAACATATGACATATAACAGCTCATTGAAAAATGTTACTTTTCTCTTGTTACTCGGCCCTGCTCCATCTGGAGTCTGTTCAGTGGACCGGCTTTATTGGAATTTACTTTATTTTCTCAGTAGAAAATCTCAGCTTATTTGTGTGGCCACTGTAGTCCTATATTATTATACTTTCGGGGTTAAAACAAGTTAAGTGAACTCAGATTTCTTTAGAGACAGTATAAGGAAAGTTGAAGGGAGAAGTTTCAATGGAGCCTTTAGCAAAATGAAGGAAAAAGACACAAGTATAATTATATACCACTTTGATCTCAATAACCTATCTGTAATGTTTGAAGTGTCTCTTAATATGAAAATTGGGAAAACTAAGAATTTAAAAAGTATCTCTAATTAACAGAGAATTCCATAACAAGCAAAAGATTTGATAACATCTGCGAGCAGGTGGTCATAGGAAGCCTGCACCACATCAGGCTTTCTGTTTCCCTGCTGCTCAAAACCACTTCCACAGCACTTTGGAGAGTACTGCACAGTCATGCGGAGAAGCTACACTGGGAAGTAGGAAAAATATTCAGAGCAGAGGCTGAAGGACACCATAAAATACATGCAGTTATTGCTTCCTGTTCCTAGCTTGATTTTCGAGTGTTGAATTCAAGAGCATATCTGGATGTGATAGTAAAACAATTGCTTCTTCTACCCTGGATCTTTTTATGTTTCCTTGAGAATATTCCTGGAGGAATGGAAGCCGGAATGTCAGTGCTACAGTAATTTTGAAACTGCTGCACTGCAGCATGCCATCTCTCATCTGTCTCTATCTGTGTTCAAAGTCCCTCTTAGGATTTGGAGGTAAAATTTTTATATTCCTAACAATTATGTAAGCTTAAGAGAAGTGACCACTTACAGTGGTTATAACTCTGATTTTGATAAATAGCTAAGCAAGTCCACATGTAATGCAATCAGGAATATATGGAAATTTTCTTTTATATAAGATACCTCTTAATATCTTTGTTCTTTCATGACTTTTCTATGCTAGTTCTTCTCTTGTTTGACTCTGGATTGAAAGCTTTGCTTTTCAGATTTTAGTAGGAAAATCTGGAATTGAGAACAGATGGAGTTTAAACTGCAATATCTCACCTTTCCTTTTGTTCTTCTTAGTCCATGGCAGTCTGAGCCATTCATCAGAAAATTTTGCTCCAAGGACACATGGCTTAAAGAGTTTGGAAACAGATTTTAGTTGTGATGGCAACTTCAATTTAGGAAGTGGTTAAGTTTGAATGCTTTCCAAAGACAAGAATGCCATGTATTTATGCTTAGACTTTGCAATTCACAAGCTGTAATTCATTTTCCTTTTTGCTAAGAATCACAAAAAATAATACTGAAGTATAATTTGAATTTATATTGTAAGTAATTGTTAAAAAAAACCTGGAACACACTTAGTTAAAACAAGGATGAAACCTACACTCAAAGGACTGGAGCCTCTCTTAGCAAACCCCACAAACCTATTTCAGCCTGGAGAGCCTTATGCAGGGTCCCTCAGGGGCTTTGCCAGTCCTCAGGAAAATGAATTTCAATAATTGGTATTGGAAGCGACTAATTAGCAAGGCATTTATATAGATGCAGAAGTAAGTGAGGTTTTCCAGTGGCCATTCTCTTGCTGAAACCTTTTGACCTTGACATGTATTTAACAAAAGAGATTCTTAGTGTTTCAAGAGGAGCTGTTTCCTGTGTCACCTGCCTCATCCTGAGGGACATGGGACTCTGATTGAGCAGGAACTCAACTCCTTTCCTGCCTACTATCAGGTTGCTGATTTTTCTTAAATTTTCTGTCACTTTCAGAAACCATACTATTACCCAGGAGATTGTAGTATAATCTTTTGAGTAGTATTCCTATTTTTATAGCATATTGTATTTTCCTTTAAATGAATAATTCTGAAATATTTCTCTCATTTTTCAGGGAAGACTTAAATTTTTGCAGAAATAAACCAAACTGACTTTCTGTAATGGAAGTTACAGACAAAATAGGCCTCCCTTAACAGAGCTGTTTTGCTTTACAATAAACTTCAGTAGAATGTACATTCTAATAGCAAATTGATAAGAGATTATCTGCAAGAAAACTGAAATCTTGCACCTGAATGTTATTTGTAGCTGTAGTAGTGTTTACATTACATATGTGAGGATATTGAGATATAGAAAGGTTGTGAATTACTCAGAATGAAACAGCAATGGCAGCATCACTGCAGACTGAGAACATTCCCTTGCAAACTGCTAATCCTGCTGCATTGTCATGGCCTGAAGTACAGGCACACCTTTAAGATGGTGCAGGCTTGGTTCCAGATCACCACAATAAAGTGAATAGCTCCATAAAGAAAGTTCCATGGATTTTTGGTTTCACATGAATGTGAAAGTTATGTTTATACTATAATGTAGTGTGGCTTGATGTCTTAAAAATGTGCATATCTCAATCAAAAAATAGTTTATTGCAAAAACTGTTCACAAGAAGCACATGCTGTTGGAAAAAAGGAATGAAGAAATTGGAAGATGTTTTCAAGCTGATAGACTTGCTTGACAAAGGTTGCCACAAACCTTTGATTTGTAAAAAATATGCAGTATCTTCAAAATACGATAAAGTGAAATGCAATAAAACAAAGTATGCCTCTAGTGGGCATGCACTGAAATCTAGGAGGAAGACTTGAAGGCTATAAAGAGCTTTATGAGCTGGACAGGAGAGGTTGGCAATGATATAACAGGTCATAGGAGTTGTGTCAAGGGGTCCTAGATTCACTGATTTGCTGGGGGACTCACAGAATTCAGTGTACAGTTTTATTCACGGCTACGATTTATTGCAGCAAAATTATGTAAAGCAAAGTCAGCAAAGGGAAAAAGCCCATGGGGTGAAGTCTTAGGGAAGCCAGCCACAGGCTTTCAGTGGTCACATAGGATGTGCTTAATTCCTCTACCAGCAAACTGTGACAACATGTAAAATATTGTCTACCTGGGAAGTTTATTAGAGACTCAATGTCCAGGATTTTTACTGGGGGTGGTCACTTAGATGCCTCTGCCTAATACATTTGAAACTTCCCGGCTCTCAGAAGGAAACATGTTCATCAGAAAACACTGCCTGTACAAGCTGCTTACAGCACAGTGCTGAGCTGGGGGCAGAAGGAACTCTCGTGAAACCCTAGTTTCCAAATGTGAACTGGGGGCCAACCTTGCAAGTAGATCTTTTGAAAGAAAGTATCACAGACCTGTTTTGCTAATTCTTTTTGCACAAGAGTTACAATAAGTGTACAACTACAACAACACTGAAAACAATGGCTTACAAGATTTCCTTGGTGTGGAGTGCAAAGTGGAGTACTTAGTGAGAGACAGAACTCAGGAGACTTTAGAAATAATCCAGCCCGAATCTCAGATATCAGTGTGCAAATAAAAAATGAAATCTAGCTATTAGAGATAGTTAACAAGAAGAATAAACCAGTTAGAGATGAGGAATGAAGAAACTGGAAGATATTTTCGCGTCTGGGAGATGAACTACATGAGTTTTTTTTAATCTGAAAAAAGAGGATTACTTAGGAAGAGTAGCTGAGTGGAAACTGGATATGTTGACTCTGAGATGACAGACGGAGTCAAATACACACGCAAAAACACGTGTAACTTTTTTTTAAACCACAAATGAAATACATTCAAGATATTGGTAGATTATGTTTTTAAAAATCTGATCCTAATACAAAGTTCATGTCTATGGTTCATATTCACATTTTGTGTCATTAAAGAATCAGCCACATAATTAGCAGCATTGAGGGAATTTTCACTTTTTATTAGCTAGAAGGACACAGTAATTAGAAGACATCATTTTAGCATAAAAATATTAATTTTATTTAAAAATATACATATTAAGCATTTTTCAAAGGATCCACTTTAGCTTTATGTTACCACTCATTGGAGTTGTCTTATCTAGTCTGGATATTTTTTTTTTTTTTTAAAGATTTATTTATTTATTTATTTATACAAGCACTGGGTACAGTCAGAAGCGCGGGAGGGTGAGAGAATTCACCAGAGCCAGAGTGTGGAGCAGAGCAGGCAGAAGGACCGAAGTACACTGCTGAGGGGAACAGCGGGCGGCAGGAGAGGTCTGCGCGCCATGTGGGACCCTCCTCCGGTGGCTGGGGAGCAGCCGGGGATCGAACCGGCGCTGCAGAGGCTGCAGGAAGCTTTGCAATCCAGCGCTCAACCACTGCGCCACCAGGGAGGCCCTAGTCTGGATATTTTTTAACACATACATATCCAATTTTTTTCTTATTTGTTTGTCTTATATGAATAATAATGATTACAACAACTTGCTAGAAGTTTGTTTTCTACATGGGAGGAGGATCTTGAGGGGTGCAGATCTAGAAAGCAACATAGTATGAAATAGCATCTGGTAGTGTTACGGAGCAACCCCTGATATAAAACACGTTGCCTGGCTGTGGGTCCTCACCCGCGCGCTTAACGGGACTTCGTAATACTCCATTACAGGCACACACAAAAGGTTAATAAAAGGTTTATTTACAAGGGAAAGGGAATTAAGGAAATGTACAACTCAGGGAGAAAATAGGGAAATAAAGTCTTTAATGTGTCCTACCCGATCCGCCGACCTGGAAACCCAAAGGCACTCTCAGAGCAGGCCGGACGGACTCTGCGAGCTGGCAGGGAGCCAAAATGGGGGATCTCCTCCAAAGCCCACGTGTCTGGTTTTACCAAACCTGGTTGCTTAACCCCACCCTCAGGTTCCAGCCACCTTCCCTTTGGTGGTGATGGGATTTGGAGTTCCCAGTGTCTTTTGGCTTTGGTCTGGAGTGGGGGCGGAGTCCACAAAGCCTGTATGGAATTAGCTTTAAGACATCCTTTTCCCCCTAACAATTGGGCAATATGAAATAGTCAGGTGTCTGCCAGTCTTTGAACCAAATCAAATCAGAGAAATATTTTGCATATTGGCTTCAAAACATTCTAAACATTCTAAGTAAACATTCTAAATTATATAAAAAACTATAATATATGTTATATTAAGCAGTAAATATTCTAATATGTATTATATTAAGATATGGAATAAAATACTTCCCCAATGGTCATCTATAACATATGAGTGGAGTTCAACAACCTACTAATATCCATATCTATCTCTAGCCACTATGGTTTCTGAGAATCCATAGTTATATTTCCTCTATAGTTACTAAATTAATTATTCAAGGCATGTTTGTTGGAAATATATAACTGGTTTTGATCATTAAAAAAATTACCATTTGTCAAAGCAATGTTTCTATGTTTCTCTTTTTTTTTTTTAAGTGAAGTTTCTCTCTTATGGGGGTGGAAAATATAGTAACAAGTTAGGGATCATTTTTAGAATTGCATATGGAACAAGTGGTGATGAGTAGTTTTACTGTAATATCAACAAATGACATTCTTATATTATACAAATTGGATGTGTGAGGATTTTAAATGTCACCTTTAGGCTTAATGCAAAAAAAAAAAACTCTTGCCCGGTATTTTCTTGACTTTCTTTAGAAATAACCACTAGCCACAGAAACTAATTTTCTCCTTGCTGCTGAAGAATGAGACTTCTATCTTCCCTCTTCTGTGCCTCCAACTTCCATGTACTCCTGTTACTCTAAACTCTGCCCACCTCTTCTGATGTCAGGGCTCAGAGTGGCATAAATAGGGAGCTGGCATGAGGTGTATCCTTCATTCCACCTGGATTTACAATACGGAGGACTGAGAACAAGAATATAGGATTATCTTCTTTATCTTCTATGTGACTTTTATTTTTAATTTTTAAACTCATGTCCAGCACACTTGAATCAGGAACCCCAATGATTCAAATAGGACAGTCAAGGTTAAAAAACTGTATGGCAAAGAATAAAAGTAAAGCAGGACGAAGCAGCACTATTTACAATAGCTCAGCTATAGAAACAACCCAAATGCCCGAAAATAGATGACTGGATCAAGAAGATGTGGTACATATACACCATGGAATATTACTCAGCAATCAAAAAAAGATAAACACATGCAGTTTGCAGCAACATGGACGGAGCTAGAAGGGATCATGCTCAGCGAAATAAATCAGAAAGAAAAAGAAAAATACCAGATGGTCTCACTCAAAGCAGGAATTTAGAAAACTTAAATAAGAGACCAGGAAAAAGACTAATCAATACAAAGTAAAAATCAAAATCAACAAGCAACTATAAACCAGAGACGCACTATGGAGGGGGGAGGGCGGGGAGAGGAAGGACTAGAGTCAAAATAAGGGGGGGGTGCAATTGTATGGGGAATATAACCAAAATGAAAATGCATATATTGTGCAAAGATGAAAAATGATGTAAGAATTATTTAAAATAAAATATTTTCTAAAAAGTAAAGCAGTACGAAATGACTATGATAGATCCATGATTTAGAGCCTTGTGCAATTAATAAAGGGCTGTTGCAAATCTGACTCCTAAGTTCCTAGCAGTAAAAGTGAAGAGGTAGCATGATCAGTGACATCTTTGGAATACCTGAAAGATAAAAACCCATTTTCCTAATACTAACTACAGAAACGTTTCTTCCATGGGCGGTTTTATTTTTTATTTTTTTTAAGATTTATTTATTTGTACAAGCACCCGGTACAGTCAGAAGCACGGGAGGGTCAGAGAATTCACCAGAGCCAGAGCGGGGAACAGAACAGGCAGACTGACGAAATACACTGCTGAGGGGAGTAGCCAGTGCAGCAGGAGAGGTCTGCGCGCCATGTGGGACCCTCGCGGTGGCGGGGGATGGAACTGGCGCTGCAGAGGCTGAGGAGAAGCGCTTCGCGGCCCAGCGCTCAACCGCTGTGCCACCAGGGGAGGCCCCCATGGGCGGTTTTAAAGGGTAATGTAAGAAGCAATAACATCTCCAACACTATGTATAAAAGAGATAGCAAGACTCATATGGTCCATCAATATATGTTTATTTACATGTTGCAGGAGCCTAACTGAGTAAAGTAGTTCCAAAAAGACCAATGATTCTAAGCACACAGATCTACCCGAAAGTGGAATTTAAGAAATTAACAGGAACAGCTAGTCCCTTTATCCTCAGGCAGTTCTTTGCATGGATATATTTCTCTCTGATAAGAATCATTCAACACAGAATCTTGGTTTATAATCTCTGACTAAAACTGGGAGTGCAGTGTTGGAAAGAAATATTTGGAATCCATCGAAGGACAAAGTTAATTTCACGAAATTTAAAGGAATGGCCTCCATGGCTTCACCTGGAGAGGAAACAAAGCAGGACCAACAAGCCAGGGTAAAATTCTCCCTCCAAAAATAATCTGGGGGGCCTCCCCTGGTGGCACAGCGGTTGAGTGCTGGGCTGTGAGGCTGCCCGCAGCCTCTGCAGCACCAGTTCGATACCCGGACACGGGCGAGGGTCCCACATGGCGACAGATCTCTCCTGTCTCGCCCGCTGCTCCCCTCAGCAGTGTGTTTCGTCGGTCTGCCTGTTCTGTTCCCCGCTCTGGCTCTGGTGAATTCTCTCACCCTCCCACACTTCTGACTGTACCCAGTGCTTGTATAAATTAATAAATAAATCTTTAAAAAAACAAAAACAAAAATAATCTGGGGTCTACTGCAAACCAATATGGAATGTGACTCTAAGTCTTAACTTTATAGTAGTAATTGAAAAGGTTAAAATTTTGGGCTCAGGAGTCATGAACAACCCTAGTGCCTAGAAAAAACAAATTCCTTAAAACATATTGTGTAATCCCCACTAGAGAAGCAGTCTTAAAATGCATCATGCTGAAATGCAATTAACTACCCACAAATGATGAATCTTTTGGAGCTAGCATGTGGCATAGAATTGGTTGAAAAAAGTTAAATCCAGAGATGATGCTTAAATTTTGATCACATTCTTTCTCATTTCAGTATAGACAAGCAAACCTACAGCCAATTTTCCATCCCTTTCTCTAAAGAATATTTTTTTAAAGATTTATGCATACAAGAACTGAGGTGTAGGCAAGAGGTGTGGGGGGTGAAAGGATTCACCAGAGACAGAGTGGGGAGCAAAACGGGTGAACCCACTGAAATACACTGCTGAGGGGAGCAGTGGGCGCAACAGGAGAGGTCTGTTGCGCCATGTGGGTCACCTCACTGGCCAGGGATTGAACTCATGTTGTAGTGGCTGGCAATAGCTTGACAGTCTGTGTGTTTAGCACCTCTACCACCAGGGAGGCCCTAAAGAATAATTTTTATACAAGTAGGACAATGTATTGAAAATAAAATTGTATTCAATGTTTACTAAATCTTCAAAGCGAAGATATTTAAAGTCAATGTGTATTTCTGATACTTTTTGGGAATGCTTTCAACTGTGTACACAACTTCTTTCCTCAGAATCTATGACTGCAGAATGCCAGTTTTTCAATTTAAACTTGAAAGTATACTTATGTCATAGTGAAGTCCATTTCTAATCAGTGTACATAATCAGTGTACATAAAATTAAGTTTTACATTCAGAAAGAAAAAAGTCTCTAAAAACTGGGCATTTGATAAGAAAAAAAAATACAGAGCACTCAATACAATGAAACCTATTGTTTTTCAAGGATTACAAAGTTAGATGGAAAATGTTGATAAAACTTACTTTCCATAATGACTTTTAGTCTGTTCCTTAACCTCTGACATGTCTTGTTGCATCTCTGTTGCCAGGCAACAGCAGAGAAATAAAACCTGTGTGAATAAAGGAAATTCCTGACATAAGAATGAGTAGTATTCTATAAGCTGGTGAACCACATATTTAGCATTTTAAATACATTTTTTTCATGTTAAAAACACTGTAAATGGTAGCTCAGTACCAATGCTAGCCACTGTAAGCCTGGTTAATTCACAATGCTCTTGGAGTATTGAAAAGCATCGCTTTTTCTTTTCAGATTGAATAATTTGATGATTCTCTTCTCCAAAATGCCAAATTCCAGGAAGTGAGAAAATGCCACTGACCAGTCAGAATAGATATTGTAAAGCCTTTGTACTAAGGCATTTTCTTCTCAGTTATAGAAACTATTAGATGAAGCCACAACCCATGTGTTCTTAGTTTAAATATAATTTTAACAAGCCTTACTACTTGATTTGAAGGGTAAGAAAGGATAATATAAGGAGGCACAGAGACAGAATTAAGAAGTGATTGCTGATGATCTGAAAGCGGAGGAGAATGCAGAAAACCTTAGCCCAAGGCACAGTACCATAGAAAGTCCATCCATCTCTGGCTCCCCACCATATGCTATGCCTCTTGTAAGACTTCTAGTGGCCCTCCCATAGCCATTAAAACAATGCTCCTTTAAAAGATTCATTGGTGTGCACTTTAGAATGCTTGAATCATAAATATCCATTCTAAAGAAATGGTGCAAGTTTTAAAAGGGTTTTTCTTCAACAAAGTTCATCCAGCAAGAGCAGCAAAAATCAGAGAGTTCTGCATATCTGCACTTTACTATAAAAATACAACTGAATTATAACTATGATTTATGAGATAATGGGGAAAGAATTTATGAATTCCATCTATAGACACCAGATAGTCAGCCTTCATTCAGAGACAATGAAAATTAGCTGCAGAAAGCTGTCTGACCTTAGGACATGTACAGAGAAAAGGAAGACATGTTTTCACCTTTATGTAACAGAAATGCCTGTCACTGTGTTAGTCACCAGGGTTGATGAACCGTGAGGTCCCCTTGGTCCTTTCTCTCATCCCACAGGTGCCTATTCTAGTGGGTGTCTAGTGTATGATGGGGATTGTCCCTAATTTGAGGACTGCTTTATATATTATACCTCAGTGACATTCTAATCTAGTTGTTGATGAGCCCTGCTGACTCTTAATTGTTTTGGTCAGGCACACAGCCGTGACAGTCACTCCAAATTAAAAGGTGAATGATTGGTATTAAGCATTGTATTCACTTCATACAGCAAGTTCCAATACTTGCTAAAAATATTTGGAAGCAGCTGACCACATTTTAAGAGGCAACCATTTAACTAAGTTTTCTGTTTACCAAAAGGAGCCTGCTGTTATTGTTTAGTTTCATTATTTCTTCCTGTAGATTCCCTCTATAGCTAAACATATTTTAACTATTCTTCCAGATTACTGAAAATTGTCTAAAATACTGTGCAGTCCTGAAGAAAAGAAACTGTCCAATTTAATCTGCAGATTATAATCAAGATACATTTTATAAAACTGTATTTATGGAAATGTCCCCCTGGAGACTGCATACCCAGCACCAAGCTCAATCTTCAAAAAGCTCAGAGTTTAATAACTGAAAATCTTGGTTTTCCTTTCCTATTTTGTCAGCTTGAAGTTTTTTTCTTTATAGAATTACTTAAGTTCAAAGCATGTTAAGGTTTTGCCAGGACTCTTTAAATGATCTGATGAGAGTGGTTACCACACAGCATAGTCAATAGCAATTTCTTAATTTGGAATTTCAGAGGTCTGAAAGTATGGACCTCAAGAGCAAAATATTTAACATGCTTCCTCCATTAGAAAGCCTGGGAATGTTTTGAATATATACTGTTAGGAAGATGCCTTGGGGGAAAGTTCGTTAGTCTCTCCTGTGTTGACAAATAATCAGCATCACCCACAGATGTTTTGCATTTAATCAGCCTTGAACGTACCCTGGAGGGCCCCCTAGCAAATGTGGCTGTACCTCTGGGAAATCTAGATCCATATTTCACATTTAGTGTTTCAAAAACATTCTTTTATATGTCAACAAAGCCTTTGCTTTCTCTCATGCTTGCTTTTTTCTTTTTCTCTCTTTTTTTTTTTAATGGACCAGAGGAATTGGTAGAAATCATAGAAAGGAAAAGGAGGGTGTGGATAGGATGACACCCCTTTGAGGAGTAGTGGAGTGTGTCCTTTTAACCATCTTTTTTTTTTTAAAGAGGCATGTATTTTTAATTATTTATTTATTTATTGTTTATTTGTTTGTTTGTTTGTTTATACATGCACTGGGTACAGTCAGAAGTGCTGCGGGAGGGTGAGAGAATTCACCAGAGCCAGAGCAGGGAGCAGAGCAGGCAGAAGGACCGAAGTACACTGCTGAGGGGAGCAGCGGGCGGCAGGAGAGGTCTGCGCACCATGTGGGACCCTCCGCCGGTGGCCGGGGAGCAGCCGGGGATCGAACCAGCGCCGCAGAGGCCGCGGGCAGCCTTGCAACCCAGCGCTCAACCGCTATGCCACCGGGGAGGCCCCTTTTAACCATCTTATAGCAATGTATGACTTGCACATTTTTAAGTTCACATTCAAATATTTATTTTAAATTTAAATTTAAATATTTAAATTTAAATGGTTATACAGTGTATAATTTCAGATATCATGCATATATTGTACTTTTTTTACAATCAAACAAGTACATTACTCTTATATATGTCTCTTAAACACCACTGCAATTTGCTCTCCATCATCATCTATTTCACAAGCACAGGAACAAATTTTTCTTTTCGAAATATTTTACATCACTTCTCAAAATTTTATTTCCATTCCACTTCCACCACAGAATATAATTTTTATGTCTGAAGGGATTTTATTGATTACCTATTGTAATTTTCTGCAACAAAATGGATATATAAATTGAAGCTTGAGATGCATTTTTCATTTTATGAAATGAAATGACCATAGCATTTGGAATTTTCTGGATTAACTGGTCATTATAATTATTAACAGTAGACCTTTATTGGGGGGACAGTGAGAGGGCTGACTATCTAAAAGACCAACTTTGAAACAGCACAAATCTATTACAAACATGTTAAATGTTAGACATAAAAGTAAAGTGTTATTAGGAATAAATCACTTGATAAGAGCATTTTTCCCATTAATTCATGTACCTATTTGTAATGTGTATTGCTAAAATAAGAGAGGGCAGCAACATCTTCCTCTTTCCCTCCTCCATCCTTTCTTTCCTTTTTTTTTAAGATACCAATAGTTTTTTGTTATTTATTTGTTTGTTTGTTTGTTTATTTATTTATTTATGCATAGAAAAACTGGGGTATAAACCAGAGGTGCTGGGGAAGAAAAGGCAGTGAGAGAGAAAGAGTGGGGAGCAAAACAGGTGGATGCACTGAAACACACTGCTGAGGGGAGCAGCGGGCCAAAAAGGAGAGGTCTGCTGTGCCATCTGGGATAGAGCTCAGGCCACAGTGTTGGTAGCTGGTAGCACTGAGACTTAACCCCTGCACCACCGGAGAGGACCTCTTTCTCAATTTCTTAATTAAATAAGCACAAATAAAACTGCTGAGTTACCGAAGTAGATGTAAATAGGAGAACCCCAATTCTTTGAGCAAATCCATTAAGTTATTTCATTTGGTTCTGTTTCAATTTGGTTGAAAGGAAAAAATTAGAACTTACTTGACTTGTGAAGGATTTGTTAATCAATCACTGTAGTAATTTTAATCACAGAAGAAGTTTACTTTGCCAAAATCAGAGTTGGTCTTTTAGATAGTTAATCCTCCCACTGTCCCCCCAGTAAAGGTTTACTCTCCTGGGGGGACAATGTACTACATAGACAGGACTTGGAAGTTGATTTGCCTTTGTTTTCTGGTGGAAGGAAGTGGGTTGTGAAATAGGTGGTAAGAAAGGCAAAGCTCAGATGCCATCACTTCCTCATGCAGATGGGTTTCACAACTGGAAGTTGAGGATCTGGAAACCGAGTCCCTTAAGATTTAAATAAGTGACAGCATTTTCCATTAAAAAAAATTTACGAGCTCCCAGAGGGAGCTGTATTCCAGTTTGAAGGTCATTATTGTACACAGTATATATTTTGCAATCTGGTTGTTGGAGAAAAGAAGTTCTCATTTTGGTTGTAATTCTATTAGGTAGAGTTAGGATATCTGTGTCCCACCCAACATTGTTCAAGCTCTCCCCTCACCTCTTAGTATACAACTTGATAGAGGCTGTGGGTGGCTACAGGGAATTGGGATTTCACGGCGGCAGAGAATTCAGTAGGAATGGGGGAGCCAGAAAACAAAGTATTTGTATTTTCTTGAGACCTTAAATGAAAAACTGAGATGATAAAGTTGTGCTAGCCCCACTTCCTGACCTGTTACTTAAACCTATTTTCCTCTTTCTTCTGATTTCTGAAAGTGGGGGGTCCTTCTCAGATTAAAGGCACTGACTCCACTGTGTTCTTCATCCCATCTCAAGAACTTTGCTCAGGGACCCACCATCTGCTCCATAGTTCCAACCTCTTCTCTGTAATTCTTTACCCATCCAATATGATTATGCTTAAGTCATTCTTTGGAAACAAAACCCCTTTTCCTTGATCCATTTCTTGCTAGCATCCTGTCCCTCTCCTACCTTTCTATTTCCTCAACTCTGAAATGATGATAACAAGAGTTGCTCTACCATAAGAGCTATCAGGAGAATAAAACCAAAACATGTAAAAGATGCAAAGCATGATTTGCCCTTGTAAAACATCAGTAAATTAGCAATTATTATTAACCAAGTTTGATAACTAAATGTCTGCATTTCTTTCTCTCTCTTTCAATCCTCAACCCACTCAATCATTTCTCTCCAAAACACATGTGAATTTGCTCCAGCAAGGCCATTTGTGATATGTCTAATCCAAATCCCTGAACTCTTCCAGTTCTCATCTTCCTGATGACTTAGCTCCATACAGTCTTTCTCCCTGACAGTTTATTTTTGTTCTTTTCTCAAGCGACCCCTCTCTCATCCAACCCTTAACCAGTGTGTTCCC